AGCGGTTTTATCAGGAGAAACTGGAAGATTTTCTGGGAAACTCTGGGGAAAAAATGGTGGGAGTTTGGTAGGACTCAGATATATCGATAACCGGAAAGGGAGTCGTTCCAGAGGAGGAAGTTTTATGGGGGTGGGGTCGTCTCTTTCAAAACTTTTCCTCAACGGCAGAACGTGCCCTGACAAGTATACCAGTGGATGGACGTCCTTCGAATTCTGTGTTCTTTCTTATAAGAATGAGTGTGCTTATTGCGTGTCATCTTCGTGCTAGTTGATCGATCGATAGCCCTGTTTGTGACACATGTAGCGAGTGGGGCGAGTTCACCTGTCTGGGACAAAATATGGTTACCGCTTGGTTTTATCGTAAACGGAATCCTTAGTTATCTTTGCTACGGCCAGCAAGCATAAATTACGTTTTTATCTTTGAAAAAGAGTGGTCGTATATTTGCTCGTAAGTACCCCACCTAGTTAGTCTTTTCACTGTGTAAAAACCAGCCGCGGCATTTCGTTAACTCACGGAATTTGATAGCATAGCTAAAATATTTTCTGAGCGGGCGCAACATGTGACGTCAACGACTGGCTTGACGCTCGCTCAAAACCCTCTTTTTTAGTTTAGTATGTTGAATCATCAATGCTGTTGCCGCTCGTGGTTGCGCTTTGCTATCGATGTCATGTCAGAGTTTGCTAATACCTCAGCGAGGCCAACAATCCGATCAGTCAACTCTCGTCTGACACTGTCAATCACTTGGCGACGATGCTTGGAATAGGCGTGGTAAAGGGGAGTTATGGTGAGCAGTCGGAAAGAAACGGGGGCAGTTCGGTGTGGGTTGTGTGCATGTTGCACCTTTGTCATTTTCAATCGATGTGTCGAGCCATCGAGTGGACGCCTGTGAAATCTTGTGAAGCCACTAAATGATACCAAGAAAAGTTCGCACAACTCTTGTTCGACTCTTGTAAAGCTGTGAAATGCCATACGAATCGATTCACCACGATGACCGAACGAGCTTGCGCCAGCTTCACGCGAACTGTCAGGTTCCACCAGAGTGAGACTTGGAAACCGGAGCTATGAAGCAACGAAAGCGCAAAATGCCACCTCTCCCTCCCTCCATCCCGTCGTTGAATTGCATCCAAATCATTGTTATTGGGTGAGAGTAGGGTGCTACAATAAGCTAATGACTCCTTTCCATTTGTAAAAAAACTCTTTCTACCAGGGAGCGAGGAAACGTGATTAAATGGTGACGTCATTGCTGTTTACGAAAAATGTCCACATGTTAGCCCTAACTTCCTGTAATGCAATTGTAATTTATTTGGTTTTGTGCGCTATTTCTATAGCTGCGGTCTCATACGAACTTTTATGAACCCCTAATATAAAAACAACGTGGGCATTTCCCACGGGAATTCGCTTAGGAGACAGAACCATTTGTTGAGCACTGGGCCCTCAAAGCTATAGACAGGAAGCCACTCGGAGCCTTGGAGAAGAGTTGGAAGGACGTCATAAGGAAAGGCCTCACTGTAGTCAACGCTATGGCGGGTGCAGCGTTGGATAAAAAGAAGTGGTGATGGGGGCTAAGGAAAAGGAACAGTAGGAGGCGATTCAGTTGCAGGTTTCTCTCCATGCAATGGGATTTCAGTGGGAGCTCATTCAGCGTTCCAGGAAAGGAAAGGATGGTTAGAGCCGTCATTTGAAAAGAGATTCATATAGGGTGACGTTTCTCTTAACGCTGATTCGAAGTTGTAGATTTTTTCAAGTTGAACTGGACCTCTTTGAAATCAGAGTGAACGTTTCTTGAGTCCGAATGTTTT